GCCTTTTGTGGGAGAAGAGCTGAGTTTGGTCTTCCCCTCACAGGTTCCCTGTGTTCTGAGCCAAAAATATTTACTCTCTGGCACTTCACAGTAAAAGCTTGTTGGCCCCCATTTTAGAAATACACACCAAATAGAGATAAAATCGTATAATCAGCGGGGACTTGATTTAAAACAATACAGGAGGGGAAGCAGTAGGGGTTTTGATGAAATAAGGTCGGCGTGAGTTGATAACTGATTATAAATCCATGCACGTCAGAGTAGGACTTGACCCCACGGTCTTTTAATTGGAATCACTCACCTGATGCCTGGACTTACCGAGGCTCGGATTCTTTCTGTCTCAGCTCAGAAGGAATTCAGCAAGAGGCAAAATGATAGGCACAATGTAGATTAATTAATATAGGATGTTCGTGAGAGGTGCAAGCCAGCAGGCAAGTGGGCTCTGCCCCAGAATTAAGCAGGTTCTGTGTGTGTGCCTGCTCAGTCGTGTCCTACTCTTTGCGACCCCACAGACTGTAGCCTGACAGGCTCCTCTGTCCATGGGATTTCTCAGGCGAGAGTCCTGGAGTGGGTTGCATTTCCTCCTCCAGGGGATCTTCCCAACCCAGGGATCGAACTCACATCACCTGTGCCTCCTGCATTGGCAGGCGGATTCTTTTACCACTGCGCCACTGGGAAGCCCCAATAGCTTTCTTGAGGCAGCATTAGTCTCCAAAGCTGCCTAGGTTTCCTCTCTATCTATAGTCCCCTACTGGGACTTCTACAATGTCCTAAGTAACTATCTGTCTTGCTATAGTTGAGCCCAGGGTAGGCCAGCTGCAAGCCAGGCAGCAGATAGGAAGAAGCTGGAAGAAGATTCGAGGAGCTGCAGACATGCTTTGTTCGGCAGCAGTGAGGCAGACAGGCTTTATTCTTCTCTAATGGTTGATGTCACCCACCGCACGGCATGGGCTTTTCAGGGGGTGCTTCTATAGGCATGATTCTCCTGCACAGTGCTATAAACGATCTCAGCCGTTCCATAACCACGCAGAGTCATTGTTTACAGAATGTGGACCAGAGCAAGAGGACCGTGGGACAGCAGTGAGAGTCTGACCACTGCTGTCTCGACTGGCTGTTGTTTCCCTACAGTGTCCTGTTCTATCCCTATCAGTGACGCTAGGCGACAGGCACACTGCTCCTCTCGGTACCACTTTCCCGGTGCTTATGTTTAATGTTTAAAAAAAATAAAAATCTATTACATGGCTGCAGCGGTGCCAGGCACAGAGGAAGCACTGAGCAAAGGAGCACCATGGCTGAGACCCTCTGGGCTCTGGGTTGGGGGGCCACCCCCCTCAGGCCTCCCCCGTGTCTTGACCGCAGAGACCCTGCAGGAGTACCTGAAGGTGGTGATGGCCCTCCAGTACGAGCAGAAGCCGCCCTACTCCACACTGAGGAACAATCTGGAAGCTCTGCTGCAGGACCTGCGGGTATCTGCCTATGACCCCTTGGACCTCCAGGTGGTACTCTAGGTGGGTTCCAGCAGGAAGAACCGGGGGTGTCTCAACCCTGTCCCTGGCTCCCCTCGCTGTCTCCACTGATGGCGTCTGATGTTTACGCCCGTGCCTGGGCGCAGAGCGCTCCAGAAACGCCAGGTTGTTTGTTCAGGAACCTAGCACACTCCACCTTAACCACAGACACTCTCCAGAAATGAAGGCATGACCCCCTCCACCCAGCTTGCCCCCGTCCCAGTCTCTGTCCCCACCCCCGCAGCTGTCTGAGAGACCTCTGGCTCCTCCCACAGCCCTCTCTCCCCGCCCCTCAACCCTGTCCCTCCAGACAGTTGCTAAATTCCTCCTAGTCCACCTCCTCCAGGGCTCTGCCTCCGTCCCCTGTCCTGGATCCCCTGGCGCATGGTCACTTGTCATAGTCACCTGCTGGCAATGAGCTCCGTGAGAACCAGGTCGAGTCTGTCTCTGCATCTCTGTTCCCCACTCAGGTCACTGGCCTGGCTCACAGATGCCCCAGCCATATTTACCAAGCAGGCCATCCGACCTCCCCATCCAGCCCATACCATTGAAATTTAAGAGCAAACCTCACGGCCCCTTTGAGGACCACAGTCCCCAGTTTGCTCAGTCTCCGGGGACCGCTCACTCAGCAGCAGGCTCTCCTTGGTTAGGGATTAGGAGATGCTCCTTAAGGGGCCCGGGGACCTTGGAGCAACTTGGGGACCCTCTTGCCTCTGCCTTGGCCCGATTGCCCGTCCTCCCCTCAGATTCCAGCCCAGGCAGAAATCAGTCCCACCTCAGGACCTCGGCACGTGCCATCCCCACGGCCTGTGACCACTGGCCCCTTTGTTTTTGCCACGACTGGCTCCTTCTCATCACCACCCATCAGATCCCGAGGCCTCCCCTGATCGCCCCAGTGAAGTGCCTCCCCACCTCCTCCCTTATCACGTCTCCTGTTTTCTGCACACCCCCGTCCCCTCCTGGAGGGAAGCATATCTTTAATCTGTCGTGTCTCCACAACTCTCCAGATTATAAGCCCAGCAGAGCCTCCCTGGTCCTCTTGTTTGCGGTGGTGTGGCCCATCCCTAGAAAGTATTGATGGGAAGCTGCTATCACACAGTAGGGGCTTAAAGGGTACCCTTTGAATGAATGACACTGACAGCCATTTTTATTGTCTTCTAGAACTTTCAGCCTGGGGTTTGAAATAGGAAAAAAAAAAGGAGCTATGTGACTTAAGGCCTGCTGTAGAATCACAGATAAGCTTCTCGAAAGATCCCTCGAATGTGCATTCCTGCCGCTTCTTCAGGTGAAACTGCTCATCATTGGTCTAGATCAGCCTCAGGGAACCCGGAAGTTAGGCCCCAGATACTGTGAACTCCCTCCTTTCGACTGTCCCTCCCTTCAGCTGTTGTCTCCCGCCAGCCCCTGAGGCTTCAGGCAGAGAAGACCCCCGTTCACAGATGGAGGTCGGGCTGGTCCCCTCAGTGGGAACGCTGCCACTGGCACCACTAGGCTTTGACAATAAATGGTTTCATTGGAACTTGGAGAGTCGACTGTCTGCAAAAGAAGTTCTTTTTGGAAAAATTTAGCTCATTTTTTCCCCCATCCATCCATCTGTCTCTTCAACGTTTCATCCAACCATCCACTCTTTCTTTTCTTTTTTAAAAATATTTATTTATCTGGCTGTGTCAGACCTTAGTTGCTGTGAGAGGGCTTCGTTGCCCCAGAGCATGTGGTATCTTAGTTCCCTGATCAGGGATTGAACCTACATCCCCTGCATTAGAAGGCAGATTCTTAACCACTGGACCACCAGGGAGTTCCCTCCACTCTTCCATATATCTGTCCACATTTTTGAGCAGACACTCATTCATCCATTCTTTCACTTATTCATCCATCATCTGTCTATCCATGCACCCATCCATATACTTGTCCATTCACCCTTTTATCCATCTACTCATTTACCACTCATTCTCTCATCCACTTACCCTTCTCTTCCACACATTCACCCTTCCTCTTATTCAACAAACATTCAGCAGACATGTCTTGAGTTCATACTATACGACACCCATCATGCTGCCCAGAGGATCCTGATGAACCAGACCTAGGCACCAAGGTCCTTGAGCTGATGGAGCCTACAGTCAAGCCAAAGGACATGACTTCGGGCTGTGGTCAGCACTCTGAAGACAAAGCACAGGTTGTGGTGGAGAATGAGGGTCCTCCAGACTGGAGGGCACCTTTGGGGGGAGCCTGGACACAGAGAGACCAGGGAGGAGGCCACAGGACAGAGAAAGAGAGAGCCTGGGGAGAGATGTCAGAGACGGGCTGTCCAGCAGCATGTAGCAAATAATTAGACTGAGAAGGATCAAGGAGGAGGAGGAGCTTCAATTAAAAAGAAAAATGGAGGAGGAGATAAACATGCCTCCTTGAGAATTTCACTTTGGATATCTTAAATTGTGCGCCCTGCTTTGGGATGGGAAGAATCAGAGGCTGGAAGGGGGGATAAACTGCTCAGAGAAGCCTTGATTCTCTCCTTTTTCTGGAGAGGAAAGAAGAATGAGCGGACTGATGACCATTTCCTGGTTGAAAGTAAGGGTGTATAACCCTTTGCAGAAGGAGGTATTCCTCAATAAGAGAGAAAGCCCATCAGAAAATCTCCCACTGGCAGCCCCTCTGTGTTCGTGAGTCCACAAGAGAAGAGGGACGTCAGCCACCCTTGGGGATCCCAGATCAGGCAGGAGGGATGGTCACAGTCGACGCCTGCACCCCCCCCACCGCCAGCTTCCCGCCCTCGGTTCACTTGGCCAAGGTCCAGCTCCCCTCCCCACCCTGGTCCTCCCCTCCCCTCTCTGAGCAAGCCAAGCCAGCAGGATCAGCGCTGTTCAGACAACAGGAGAAGCCCACATCCAGGCAGAGCAGCAAGAGTGTGGACAGTGGACAGTCTCCCTCCCTGTCCCTGAAGCAGCCTCTACCTGTCTCCAGAGCCCAGGTTTTGACAGATCATCCCAGCCTCTGAAAGAGGAGGGGGATGTCCTTGGCATTAATGATCTTAGTTCTCGGAGCAGCGATCAAACCTGTATCCTCTGCGTTGGCAGGCACACTCTCAACCACGGGACCACCAGGGAAGTCCAGACACCATTTCTAAAGGTCATTGATCAAGAGATGCAACCTAATCCTGAAAAATGGCAAGGCAAAATGTGCCACGAAAGGTGGAATTATGTCCTTCTGCACCTCTAGTTTGTAGAGCAGTTACAGCCTGAAATTATTAACTTGATGCTAAAAGATATTCCTATCTTGGCTCATAATGCTACTGTTGGGCGTGTTCCCTCATGAATGGAAACAATGGAAAAAGTTAAATGGACGCTCAGTGGGAAAAAGAACAAAAGCAGTTGGCTGTGACTCTAGTAAAAACTATATTACAATGTAAATGGACACAGAATGGAACTGCAAGGAATTTTATAAGCAGATTCTGAAAAAAAAAAAAAAAACTCTTTTAAGAACCAAAGTATCAAGGACACAGAATTAAAAAGAACCCTTGTCATTTATTTCAGATAATCAGTGAATGATTTTTGTGTCCGAGAAAATAGACAAGTTGGGTTTCCAGGAAGCAGGCTCAGAGAAAGACCAGTTTGCAGTGTGTTCACAGGAAGCCCCCCGGGGGTGAGTGTGAGTGGAAGGGAAGGGAGGGGTGGGCTACACGGGGCCTAGGGATGTGATCCTGCCTAATAACAACCTCTGCTCAGCCTTGGGAGTGGGGGGAGGCACCTCTGGAGCTAGACAGCCCTGCAGAGTGGTCCCCATTTGGCCCAGCATGCCAGACCTTTATCCCAGCAGGTTGCCCAGGGAAGAGGTTTAACCTTGGGCGTGATGCCCTTTGCACATTCACCCCCATGGGACACTGTACGTTAATTACTTCCTTGATGCCCACAGCAACCCGGTGAGTTAGGTTTGTGATGTCCATTTTACAGAGTTGGAGACTGAGAAGGAAGGTGAGGTGTTCAAACTCAGACGCGTGTTTGGTGATGAGTCTGAGACGTGAGCCCAGTTCCGCCCATCGCCCCACCAGCGGGACTCGCATATGCTAGCTGGTAGCCCGTGTACATGGAAAACTATTCTCTCAGGCATCGTCCCTGATGTCTCTTTTCCCTGAGAAGCCCTGGGTCCCCCAGCCAGAGGTTGCAGAAGGTTGCGGGAGGCAGGGTCGTCATTTAAGGATCTTGATCTCTGCATATTCGGTGGTGCTGGTGGCGGCCTGGTCCCGAGGCTCCCAGGGTCTCAGCTTGAGGAAACTGAGGGAGGCGTAATGAAGCTCCTGTTCCTCCCCTGAGAAGGGGGCGGCCGCCGCTGGGGGCGGGTAGGCCAGGGGGCTGCCTGGAGGACACTCATCCTGGTAACCCTGCGTGGAGGGGAAAGAAGGGCATCATATTAGGATAACAGGGTCTGGGGACTTCCCTGGTGGGCCAGTGGCTAAGACTCCACCCACTCTGTGCAGGGGGCCCTGGTCAGGGAACTAAGATCCCACAAGCCACGACTAAACATCCCACACGCCGCACGGAAGATCAAAGATGTGCACGCCAAAACTGAGGCCTGACACAGCCACATGAAAATAAACGATTGAAAAATTTTAAAAAGGGATAAAGAGCTGGGAGAGAGCAAAAAGGGCCCACAAGTGAACCTGGAAAATGAACGTTCAGTCTTTTCACCTCTTCATTCCAAACATTGGCTGAGCCCCCATTTATTCATTCAATGCTTGAGAGTATTAATGCCTGGCACTTGGTAATCAGTTGCCAGTCTCCTAGATTCCTCACAACAGTCTACTTGGGAGACACTGTTATCCTCATTTGTCAGGTGGAGATAAATAAGGGCTGTGTTGATAAACTTCCCTCCTGGCTCGGACGGTAAAGAATCCACCTGCAATGAGGGAGACCTGGGTTCGATCCCTGGGTTGGGAAGATCCCCTGGAGGAGAGCATGACAACCCACTCCAGTACTCTAGCCTGGAGAATCCCCATGGACAGAGGAGCCTAGTGGGCTGCAGTCCATGGGGTCGCAAAGAGTTGGACACCACTAGCAATTAAGTGCACACACATCAGGTGGAGAAATTGAAACTAAGTAAATGTCCCCAAGCCCGATGTTTAATCATTGGTAAGGTCCTTCTGACTCCAGTGCTGCCTTATGGACCTGCTCCCCTGGTGCCAGGCGCTGGATATCAGTGAGGAACAAAGAAGATGCCACCCCCGACCTCACGGTTGCAGTGGGGGGAGCAGACATTCAAGCTGTAGTCAGTTATATTACTATCTAATAGGACTGGAATGGGATGGATGGCATAAGAAGGTCAGGGATTTGCTTAGGCCTGAGCTGACCTCAGGGACCACGCATCATTACAGAGTCAGGCAGACACAACCCCCAAACTGCAGTATAAGCCTTTTTGTTTGCTTGTTTTTTGGTAATGTTTATCTATTTATTTGGCTTCACTGGGTCTTAGTTACAGCATGCCAACTCTTAGCCGCAGCATGTGGGATCTAGTTCCCTGCATTGGGAGCGTGAAGCCTTAGCCACTGGACCACCAGGGAAGCCCCCATTATGAGTATTATAATCGAAAGATCTTATGCCAGAAAGAGTTAACCTTGCCTGAAGAAAATGTGACCTTTTGCTCAAGCACCTGGGAGGGAACCTCTAAGCCCTTGAAATGTTCTGCCTGATAAGTTTGTCTCAGAACTTACCTGCTGGTATCTTGGGGGCCCCTGAACTTGATTTTGTAGGTAGTACATAGTAGTTATTTTGGGGAGATCCTTGCGGCATCCTGTCTTGGGGGAGGCGAGGTAGGAAGTGGGGGGAAAGTGGGTCTGGGGTCCAGAGAGAAAGGAGGAGGGCCCGGTTGGAAGTAAATACAATCAGTAAGAGGGATTAGTGGTCCAGAGGAGACAGAGGGCAAAAGGGAGGGGCTCCCAGGTCGCTGGACTGAGTGGCTGTGTTGATAGGTTGTTTTAGTTGCCAAGTCGTGTCTGACTCTTTGTGACCCCGTGGACTGTGTCCCCCCAGGCTCCTCTGTCCATGGTACTTTCCCCAGGAAAGAACACTAGAGTGAGTTGCCAATCCTCCTCCAGGGCATCTTCCCGACCCAGGGATCGAACGCATGTGTCCTGCATCGGCAGGTGGATTGTTTACCAGCTGAGCTACCGGGGAAGCCCCATGCTGACGGGACCCAAGAGGAAGGCCTGTGTGGGTCGCGATGAGCATCTGGGTCCTCACAAGGACTGTGGCCACGGCAGTCAGCCAGGCGGGGAGTCAGCCAGCTGGGGCCCTGAGGGGCCTCACCACTCACCTGGGAGGTGGGGCCCAGTGTGCAGGCGTCATCCTTCTCACGGGCTGCCTTCCTGCAGGTCTTCAGTCTGAGAGGAGAAGCCAGGACCTCTCAGCGGCCCAGCTGGCTCAGAGCTTGCAGGGCGGCCACTACCCCCATTCCAAGCCCCTCCCCATCCCCACTTGAGGCTAGAAGGGGCTGGGACTTCCCCTGGCAGGCCAGTGGCCGGTGGTTGAGACTCGGCACTTCCACTGCAGGCTTGATTCCTGGTCGGGGAACTAAGATCCCATGTGCTGCGTGGAGCAGCCAAAAGATAGGAAAACTTAAGAGAAAGACAGGCTGGAAGGGCAGACCAAGGCCAAGAGGCAGGGCACGCACCTTGTCTCAGGACCTTCATAGTGACAACGGGCGTCCTTCGCCGATGGCTGGGGTGCACGGTGGGGACAGACCCTGCTCTGATTCCCTGCCCCATGACCCGCTTCTCCAAAGCTCCATACCGTGAAGATTCCTCCAGAGGGGGCCCTCCAGGGATTCCAAGGCTCCGTCCCCTTCCCCACCCTGCACTCACCATCCCCCAAGAGACGACACTCACGTGAAGAAGATGAGGCAGGAACAGAGACTGAACAGGCCAGCGGCGCCAGCTCCCCCGATGGCCCCCAGAACAAATTCTCCTCCAATCCTGGGCTTCCCTGCAGACGAGCAAGATTGAGGGTGACTCCCCTCCAAGCCCCAGGACTCACATGCCCCCTCCTCCCATAGAGTTTGAGCTCTCCTGCCCTTCAGCCCCCAGCCAGCTGAAGGACAGTTCTCTGCCCCCACCCCTGCCTCTCAACCCTCCCGCCCAGGCCCCTCTCCCCGCCAAACGTCATCTTCTCTAGGATGACTCCCATCCCCTCTAAGCCTCTCCCCCCACAACAGACCCCTAACCTGGCAGCAACACGACAGACCCGCTCCGGGCCCCGTGGACGTTCAGGGCCTCGCAACTGAGGCTGAGGCCGGAGCTGAGCCCCTCGCGGAGGCTCAGGGAACTGTTGGCCCAGGGCCCGGCGGAGCTGGAGCTGACCTCGAAGGAGGCGTTGCTGAGCTCCCCCGCCAGCAGCCCCTCCCCGAGCCGCCAGCGCAGGGAGGGGGCCGGCCGGGCTCTGGAGGAGCAGCTGCAGCGCAGACCCTCGTCCTCCTGGGAGCAGGAGGGGCCCAGCAGCTGCGGGCGGGCTGCGGAGAGGGAGGAGAGTCAGTGGTGTCTGTCCCCTCCCTGCGCCCGCGTGTCCTCTCCCGGGTGTTCTCCTCGCCCCGCCCCACCCCCAACTCACTCTGCACAGAGAGATGCAGGGAGACCCACAAGGAGCCCCGAGGGTGCTGAGCTCGGCAGGTGAGCTCGCCGTCGTGGCCCGACTCCACTCGGCGCAGGTACAGGACCCCAGGGCTAGAAGGATGTGAGGGGCTCAGGGTCCGGCTCCCCCGGGACCAGCTCAGTGAGGCCGGGGGGTTGCTGTCGGTGTCACAGACCAGGCGCAGAGAGTCTCCCTCCAGAACAGGAAGAGATGAGCCATTCCCCAGGTGTTCCAGCTCTGGAGAGAGAGAGAAACAGAGGCACACTCAGAGAGAGGGAGACAGACAGACCGACAGAGACAGACACACAGAGAGCTGAGCCCAGACTCTGAAGCCCTGTTTTCTATTTCTCTATCCTATTTATTTTTTCAAGTTGCGAAGAGATCCCACAAGTAGCTTTTTAAGCAGCTTTCAGTTCAGTTCAGTCGCTCAGTCGTGTCCAACTCTTTGCGACCCCATGAATCGCAGCACACCAGTCTTCCCTGTCCATCACCAACTCCGAGTTTACCCAAACTCATGTCCATCCAGTCGGTGATGCCACCCAGCCATCTCATCCTCTTTCGTCCCCTTCTCCTCCTGCCCCCAGTCCCTCCCAGCCTCAGGGTCTTTTCCAGTGAGTCAACTCTTCGTGTGAGGTGGCCAAAGTATTGGAGTTTCAGCTTCAGCATTAGTCCTTCCAATGAACACCCAGGACTGATCTCCTTTAGGATGGACTGGTTGGATCTCCTTGCAGTCCAAGGGACTCTCAAGAGTCTTCTCCAACACCACAGTTCAAAAGCATCANCAGTCAAAGGCTTTGGCATAGTCAATGAAACAGAAATAGATGTTTTTCTGGAACTCTCTTGGTTTTTCAATGATCCAGCGGATGTTGGCAATTTGATCTCTGGTTCCTCTGCCTTTTCTAAAACCAGCTTGAACATCTGGAAGTTCATGGTTCACGTATTGCAGCACATGTTTAAGTAGCTTTATTGAGATATAATTCACAAACCGTACAACTCCATTTACATACCACTTGAAAGTCACTCGATAACCATCACCACAGTCAATTTTAGAACATTTTCACGACCCCCTCCGAAACACTCCGTACCCCTCAGCCATCTCCCCCAGTCCTTCCATTATCCCAGCCCTAAGCGACCACGACTGTCTCTATAGATTTATGTCTTCCGGATGTGGTGTGTAAACATCCGGCTCCTTCCCCTCGAGGTGATGTTTCTGAGGTTCATCTGGTGTATCCGGAATGATCGGGGGCTCTCCCTTCTCTGCGATCCCTGCCATGCTCCACGGCCCTCCCTTCATACCTGTGCCAATTCCTCCGGAGACGCTGATGGTCAGCTTCTGGGGGGGATCTGGGGGGCAGAGACGCCGCAGTGAGGAAGGGAGTCAGAGCTGCCCCTGCCCTGGCCCCATTCCCAGGGCCCCCACACTTCCCGGAGGCACAGAACCGGAAGCAAAGCGGAACAGGGCCCCCTCAGCCCCTGGCCTGGGGTCACCAGCGCCCATTCCCAGCCCCGCAGGCACCCCGCGGGCCTGGCCCAGTGCTCACAGGACACGTTGAGCGTGACAGTCCTCTCTGCGCTCACAGAAGCCCTGCGGAAGGTCACCCGACAGGTGAGGCTCGTGCCGTGATCCTGCGGGCGGGGGGTGAGCAGGATCTCCGGGGAGTTATAGGCCTCCTTGGAGTCCAGTCCCGGGGGTCTGAGGGCAGCCCCGGTCCAGGAGATGGTGGGGGGCGTGGCCCAGGCACAGGTCTCAGGCAGGGAGCACTTGAGGTGGCTGCTGGAGCCGGATTCCAGGGGCTCCTTGATGTGGACATCAGGAGTCCATGTTAGCGCTGGAGAGGAGAGACGGAGAGGCCAGACCCCAAGGGGGACCCCTGTGTGTGCCCACCCGGATCTGACTGTGGGCCACTGTCCCCCACCGCCCTCAGAGATGGAGGGCCACGGGGTCCATCCTTCCCACCCTCCCTGACCTCTGCTCCTGGGGACCCTTCCGTACCGACCACATTCACAGTGAGCTGGTTATTCTTGTAACTGTGTTCTGCAGCTTCTCCTCCCAGCTGAAAATAATAGCTTCCACTGTCCCTCTTGCGGGCATCTGCGATGCCCAGGGAGCAGTTGTTGGCCCTGGGGTCCCCGAGGAGGTGGAATGGGCTATTTCTCTTCTTCTTTCCACCCCGGGTTGAGCTGTCTGTGGCCATAAGAACGTCCTCTTGGAGTCTATCCTCTTTCCGGAACCATGCCCCGTAAACACGTGTGGAGTCGGTCGAGTCAAGCCGGGGGTAGGAGACGTTACAGGGCACGGAGACGCACAGACCCTCCTGCACCGTCACCGACCCCTGCACTTGCAGCTGGTATAGTGACTCCTTCTGCAGGGGCCCTGGGGGAACACAGAGGCTCAGCTCCAGCCCCATCCCCAGCCCCAGCCTGGGACCCGCTCTCCCCACGGCCCACTCACCCGCCCACAGCAGGGGCAGCAGCAGCAGCAGCAACAGCCTCTCCATGTCCGAGGGGCCAGGAGTTCCCAGGGCCGTCCAGTTTCTGGACCTGCCTGTCTGTCCGTGAAGGAAGCTCCAACAGGAAGGGGAATGTGACCATCCACAAATGAGCAAAAGAGGAAGCTCGGAGCTGCCGATGTCTGGAAAACATCTCTTCTGACTTCTCCTTTCATGCTTGGACGTTGCAGGGCAGGTCTAATGCAGGACGCAGCCACCCCAGGTCAGCCTCGGGCCAGTGGGGCTCTCAAGGGAAATGGGTGGGGAAGGGCTCCAGAGGCAGGGATTCAGTCATTCATTCATTTGCCAGGCAAATGTCGACTCCATGAAGGAGTTGAGGGCAGAGGAAGGCAAGACCTCACAAATCCTGCCTCACTGTTTGCGTGACCCCAAACTCAGGATCCCCAAAGGACACAACCTCCCTGCCTGTCCTGGGGACATGTCTGTGTCCACACAAGGCCTCCAGCTCCACAGTAAGAAGTGAAATGTTTACCCAGGGCCCCATGCTCCGAAGGGCTTCCTGATTGAGGTTTGATGCTCTAAGGTGGTCATCTTGAAATTCCTAATAATTTTGATCTTGGACTTTGTGTTCTGTAAGTGAAATCTCATGGGATAAGGAGCACACACCTGGGGAACTGGAAGCTTGGATCACACCAGGCCGACCCAGGGACAGCCTAGATCAAGGAACAGGTTCTCAGCCCCCTTCCCACCTCCATCCCCTTCCTTGGGCATAGAGAGAGTCTGGAATATGCTGCGTTGAGAGCCTGTGAGAGTCTACACTGCTCACTGCCCCCCCCAACCCGCAGTCAAACCTGGGCAATTGGACATTAGCTAGTAAATTAAAAACACTGTAAAGAGGGACTTCCGAGGTGGTTCAGTGGCTAAGACTCTGGGCTCCCATTGCAAGGGGTTCAATCCATAGTCTGGTTGGGGAACTAGGTCCCACGTGCTGCAATTAAGAGTTGGCATGCCGCAGTGAAGATCAAAGAACTAAGAACTGGCTCAGCCAGATAAATACATTAATATGTATACATTGTAATTTATTATTATTATTATTATAACATATATATATTTGCACAGGGCCACATGCTCGGAAGGAGCCTATATTTTAAAGTAGACTACTGGTTGCCTGGGGCTGTGCTGTGACTGTTGATGGGTAGGGGTGTCCTTTGGGAGAGATGTAAAAGTTCTGGCACCGGATGGTGGGGAGGGTGGCACACCATTGTGAGAGTACTTTATGTCACGGAATTGTATACTTTAAAATGGTTAAAATGGTAAATTTTACGTGATGGACATTTTACTCCGATTTTTTTTTTTTAATTTGGCCACACTGCATGGCTTGTAGGATCTTAGTTCCCTGACCAGGGATTGAACCTGTGCCCCCTGCAGTGGAAGCTCTGTGTCTTAACCACTGGACTGCCAGGGAAATCCCACATCAATTTTTTTTTTAATGTTCAGAAAAAAAGGAAAAAGGTTTTTCCTACTTTTTGTTTTTTTTTGTCAAAGGGGCCGCACATTTTCATTTTGCTCAGGGGCCTGCAAAAGATTTAGGCATCTCCGGTGAGAAGCTTCCAGACTGAGACCCGCCGTAACAGGAGAGCGTGGTCAGCACTGCCCAGAGGCTGAGTTGATAAGCATCCATCCCTCTCCTGAAGGTCAGAACAAAAGAGCAACGAAGGACGCATATCTAAGGCCACTCTGCTGGCATCCAACCCAGCTCCCCAAGTGACTGGCAATGCATGTAGAATTAACCTCGGGATTTCCCTGGCAGTCCAGAGGTTAAGACTCCATGCTTCCACTACAGGGGGTTTGGGTTTAATCCCTGGTCTGGGAACTAAGATGGCCAGAAAAAAAAAAAAAGAATTAATCTCATCCAAAGAGAGGTGTGGGCTTTGCCCAGCAACTGGGAGGGAATGCTAAGCCCTTGGCATGCCTGTCTCGGTGTCCACATTTCCTTTTTTTTTTTTTTTTAAATAAGAATACCTACCAATCACGTTGGATTGCATGCATTCGTGCTAAGCTGCTTCAGTCGTGTCTGATTCTTTGCAACCCTGTGGACTGTAACCCGCCAGGCTCCTCTGTCTGTGGGGATTCTCCAGGGAAGAATATTGGAGTGGGTTGCCACACCCTCCTCCAGGGGATCTCCCTGATCCAGGGATCAAACTGGAATCTCTTACATCTCCTGCATTGGCAGGTGAGTTCTTTACCACTAGCACCACCTGGGAAGCCCTTGTATTAGCTTAGGGTCCAGCCGCCCCCCCATGACATCACCTAACTTGATCACATGCAAAGACCTTGTTTCCAAAAAGGTCCCATTCACAGAGACTGGGGGTTGGGACTTGAATATCCTTTGTTGGGGGGGACACAAACCTATAACAGGCCCCCAGTAAAAACACTGGACTCCAAGGTCTATGCTCCATCTGTGTTATCACACGTCGTCGCTGGGTGTATTGGTCTGCTTTGAGTTGCCATAACATACCACTCAGCTGGAAGAATCGGCCTGCAATGCAGAAGAACCTGGTTCAACTCCTGGGTCGGGAAGATCCCCCAGACAAGGGATAGGCAACCCACTCCAGTATTCTTGGGCTTCCCTGGAGGCTCAGACAGTGAAGAATCTGCCTGCAATACAGGAGACCTGGGTTCGAACCCTGGGTTGGAAGGAGCCCCTGGAGGAGGGCATGGCAACCCACTCCAAGATTCTTGCCTGGAGAATCCCATGGACGGAGGAGCCTGGTGGGCTGCAGTCCATGGGGTCACAAAACATCAGACACGACTGAGTGACTAAGCACACCAAACACAATATCGCAGACTCTGGGCAGCTTATACAACATAAATGGAGGGAAAATGAGAGAAATCAGAAACGTACTATCTCACAGTCCTGGAGGCCAGAAGTCCAAGATGAAGACCAAGGTGCCTGGCGAGGGCCTGCTTCCTGAGTGGGAGATGACTGCCTCCTCCCTGTCCCCTCACGTGGCAGAGACAGAGAGAGAGAACCCTCACGTTTCTTCCTGTAAGGACACTAATCCTATTGTATAAGGATCCCACCCTTAGGACCTCAGTAACCTTGCTCCCTTGCCTTCCTCTCCAACTATAGTCACGTGTGGGAGTTAGGGCTTCAGCATATGAACTGGAGGGGACACGATTCAGGCCACAGCCCTGGGAAAGTCAAGCACTGTCCACAGTGGAAGAGCCCACCAGAAGTGTGTGGCCAGTCTCCCCTCAATACTGCCTCGGGCGAGTTTTCCTTTGCGGATTTTATTCTATTCTATTTTCTGTTCTCTCCCATTCTATGGGCCTCCCAGGTGGCTCAGTGGTAAATAATCCACCTGCCAGTGCAGGGTACTGGCTTCTATCCCTGGGTTGGGAAGATCCCCTGGAGAAGGAAATAGCAATCCAGTTCAGTACTCTTGCCTGGGAAATCCCATGAACAGAGGAGCCTGGCAGGCTACAGTCCATGGGGGTGTGGGTCACAAAAAGAGTCAGACAGGACTTAGTGACTAAACAACAACAACAACGTTCTACTCTTATTTTCCCCTTCGGCTGCACCACATGGCTTGCAAGATCGTAGTTCCTCCACCAGGAATCAAAATCGGAGCCTGGGCAATGAACGTGCTAAGTCCTAAACACTGGACCACTAGGGGATTCCCGGGTATGCAGATTTTTATCTGTATCCTTCTGTTGTAACAAACCATCAGTATGACAATTTCTCAATTCTTTTAAGTCCTTCCAGTGACTCATCACACTTCAGAGTGGTTTAGGGGGATCCCCAGAACAGTCTGTTTCCCTCCTCAGACTGTGGTGCAAAACGCCATGGTTTCCCTAAGTGGGGGCGACAGTGGCCACCTGTAAGGGTCTGTCCAACCTGGGGACCAGAACTCACAATCTCAGGCGCACCCCTGCACCCCGCCCCACAGTTGTCGGCTCTCACAGAGCCCAGAGCTTGTGTAGGATGGAAAGTTGCTGACCAGGAAAACTGCTGAGTTTATTACAAATACATAGAAGGAAACAGGGAAAATGCACGGAGAAATGCGCAGTTCCTGTTCATCTATAACCAGTTCCTCACTTTACTTCCCTGTTGCGTGGTTTCTCAAGCAGGAGACGACATCACTTTTAACTGAATGGTCCCCGCTGGTACCAAGCTGTGTGTCCCTCCTCTTGCCCTTGCTACTGTGTCATCTGCACCCCGGGCTGGGGGCCATGGAGAGCAGCCCTCGGGGGACAGGCTCTCAGCAGAAGGAGCACCAGGACCTCTGTCTCTGCTTTCTTATTTTGAGTCAGTTTTCCAATCTCTGCTGACTTGCAAAATGGGCCCAGAACACTTCCCTTCTTTCAAATCAAGTAGACTGTTCATTGCTTGTCCAATAGATAGCCAGAAAGACTGGGAGCGGGGAGGTCAGCTGCTGGCAGGATTCCAAGGAGACCCAGGGCCACAGGGCCCGGGCACTTAGTGAGTGCTCAGGGCCCAGGTGTCACTCCAAGTCAGGAACTCTATTCTTTCTCTGCTGCGGGAGACGGCATTGCCTTTGGGTCTCCTTGGCCTGAAAACTAGGTCTGGCTGCCTGGATATAGGGTTCTACCCATCTCGGGAGAAATAGTAGGGTGGAGAGTGTACCCCAGATGTGTGTGTCTGTAAGCTCTTGCACGTGTCTGCAAGTGTGTTTGGGACCCAGGACGGGCCATCTCAAAATATGCTTCAGGACTTCCCTGGTGGTCCAGGGGTTAAGAATCCACCTTCCAGTGCAGGAGACGTGGGTTCGATCCCTGGTCAGGGAACTAAGATCCCACATGCCATGGCCCAACTAAACCCACAAGCCTCAGCTAGGGAGAAGCCCGTGCAGCTAAGACCTGACGCAGCCAAAAATAAATGTTTTTTAAAAAAGAAGAAAAAAGTGACGAACATAAGACACTCTGACCCCCCTTTCTTTCTCCCTGGAAGCAGGAAATAAATCTCTCCTGTGAAAGGTACCCTCCCCACACCTGGAAGGAGGATGCCCTTATCAGCAGACATAGGGAATCAAGCCGAGAACCCTGAATAAAGAAAGCTTCCTGTGCTTTGTCACAGACGTGTCCAACTCTCTGCGACCCCACAGACCGCAGCGCGCCAGGCTGCTCTGTCCATGGGATTCTCCAGGCAAGAATACTGCAGTGGGTTGCCATGCCCTCCTCCAGGGAATCTTCCCAACCCCAAGATCAAACCCAAGTCTCCCACATTGCAGGCTGATTCTTGACTATCTGAGCCACCAGGGAAGCCCAAACCAACCTTGGGAAACCTTGGGTTACTGCTTTAATTTCCAGTCACAAGACTAAATTCTCCTTAGAGTCTCACTAACCGGGCTCCCAGTGCCTCTTTATCCTGTCAATTCCTCACAGATTTATTGTTTCTTTGCCTGAAAAGTATAAACGCTGTCCGAGTTGGCCACTTCTTAAGTCCCATCCCAGGTGGAGGATTCTAAAAGACAGTGTCTCTGATCAGCTGAAGAGCGGCCCCCAGAGTCGTCCCCGTCTTAATCCCTGGAACCTGTGACTAGGTTACCTTGCAGGACAAAAGGCTTTTGCAGTGGTGATCACGTTCAGGATCTTGGGATGGAGAGATTCCCCAGGTGGACCCTCACTGTGATCACAGGTTTATGAGAGAGAGGCAGAGGGAGCTCAGACCACAGCTGGGGGAAAGGAGTAGACGGTGATACAAGAGATTGTAGTGATACCTTCAGGGCTTCCCTGGCGTCTCCCTGGGAAGTACCATGGACAGAGGAGCCTGGGGGACTGCTGTCCAGGGGATCGCGAAAGAGTCACACCTAACTGAGTGACTAAACAAGTGAGACCACCACCCAAACCTGCAAAAAGCAAGGAAGAGATTCACCTTAAGATCCTCTGGAAGAAACAACCTCTGCCAACACCTTGATTCTATCCCCCTGAGACTCCCTTTGGACTTTTGGACTCCAGAACCGTAAGAGAATGTATTTGTGTTGTTTTGAGTTGAAATTGAAGCCCTGCTCCCTTGAGTGTTTCCAGGAGAGAACGCATCCTCCTGCCTCCTGGGCCCCTTCCGCCAGCTGCAAAGCCAATGGCATAGCACTTCCTCTGCCTGACTCTGCTTTCATCTGCTTTTCCATCACACTTCCTTCTCTTCTGTGCTCAAATCTCCCTCTGCCTCTCTCTTAGGAAAATCCTTGTGGTTACATTTAGGGCCAACTCAGGGAATCCCCGATAATTACCCCATCTCAACATGCTTAACCATATCAGCAGGGTCCTTTCTACCACAGAAATGCCCACCCACAGGTTTCCAAAGATTAGGATCTGGATACCTTTGAGGGCTCTGTTCTTGCACATAAATATTGCATGACTCCCTTTATATGAAGTGTTCAAACTGGGCAAAGTCATAGGGGCAGAAAGCAGATCAGTGGTTTCCAGGAGCTGAGGGGAGGGCAGATTTGGGGGTGACTGTTTAACCAGTTTAGGGTTCCTGTTTGGGGGTGGGGGAAGGGATGAAAAAGTTCTGGAATGAGATAGTGGTGATGGTTGTGCCACATTATTAATGTGACAAATGCCACTGAATTACACACTTTAAGATGGTTAAAATCGTAAATTGTACATTACAGATTTTTTAAAAAATGGAGTACAGTTGATTTACAATGTTTTAGTCTCTGGTGTATGGCAAAGCGATTCAGTTAAATATATACATATATATGTTCCTTTTCAGATTCTTTCCGATTATAGGTTATTACAAAATATTGAGCAGTAGGTCCTGTGCTATATCCAGTAGGTCCTGAGCTATATCCAGTAGGTCCCTTTCTTTTGCCTATTTTATATATAGCAGTTTGTATCTGTTAATTCCAAACTCCTAATTTATCCCTCTTCCTGCTTTCTTCTTTGGTAGCCATAACTTTTTTCTTCCTGCACTGGCAGGTGGATTTCTTTACCACTGAGCCACCTGGGTCGTGTATGAGTCATGTATGGATGTGAGAGTTGGACTATAAAAAAAGCTGAGCACTGAAGAATTGATGCTTTTGAACTGTGGTGTTGGAGAAGACTCTTGAGAGTCCCTTGGACTGCAAGGAGATCCAACCAGTCCATCCTAAAGGACATCAGTCCTGAATATTCATTGGAAGGACTAATGCTGAAGCTGAAACTCCAATACTTTGGCCATCTGATGCAAAAAACTGACTCCTTGGAAAAGACCCTGATGCTGGGAAAGACTGAAGGCAGGAGGAGAAGGGGACGACAGAGGATGAGATAGTTGGATGGCATCACCAAGTTGATGGACGTGAGTTTGAGCAAGCTTCGAGAGTTGGTGATGGACAGGGAAGCCTGGTGTAATGCAGTCCATGGGGTCACAAAGAGTCAGACACGACAGCAACTGAACTGAACTGAGCCACGTGGGAAGCCCAGGACGGTCACAGGGAGCTCCAAGCGGAACTTGAATGTGGTTGGACATTCAGGGCAAGACCATGGAGCAGCAGGTATGGGTGACACAGCTATCTTGGGACCTGGTCATGTAATTAGCTTGCACCTTCTGGCCCTGTTAGATCCCCTTCTCCTGAATGCAGGCTAATGCCGTGCCCAACCTTACTTCACAGTCATCACAATTCAGCACTGGAGAGGCAACTCCGTGAATCTTATTGACCAGCTCACTTGCCTCTCCTTGTACATCTATACTGCAGTGTGGATGTCGCTGATGGTAAGAAAATGATTTATTTACTTGTCTGGCTATTCTGCTGACCCAGAGACAGGGCCCCACACTAGTTTCAGTCGTGATTCCAACACTGATTGTTGTGTTGTTGAGCCCTGGGCTCTGCTAGAGTATTTCACTGGCTTCAGCACCCACACCGCCCCCAACCCCGCCACTATGCCAAGGAAACGGGGTTTACTTCCACCCCAAGTGCAATGCCAAGGAAAAGCCTCTGGGCTGGGAATTGGGGATCACTGGGCTCAAGAGTTCTCCTTAGGAGAAAAATACTGCTTTGGTGATTCACTTCCCTACACTGATCCTGTTTTCTTTTCTGTAAAATGGGAATTTTTAGCAATTGATTTAACAAATATACCAGATCCTTCAAAGTAATTTACAAATAGTAATTCATTTAATATTCATGATAGCCCTATGAAGCAGGTGTTATTAGGCCCATTTTAGAGCAGAGGAAACTGAGGCACAGGGAGGCTATGCAAGCTGGCCAAGGACTCCAAGCCAGCAGGACTCCACGCGGGTTGTCTCACACCAGTCTAGGCGAGGAGGTCTCCCTGCACAGGTGCGGTGGTGAATTTGAGGTCTTGTCCGTTCTCCCCCACCGAATATGCGCTCTGGGAGGTGCACGGAGGCATTTAATGAACATTGTGGAATGAACAGATAAGGGGGTATCTTAGAATGGCCACATCCCTTCATGACCGCCTGCGCCCTCCTGCAGTCCTCTGTTCGGGGAATTCTATTCGTGGTCAGGGCTTCCAGTCCCAGTAAACCCGACCCTCAGGGCAAGAGGGAACCCCAAGATCACGGGCTTGGACTGAGTAGAGAATAGAGGGTATCAATGTATGACAAAACCCACTGCAATGTTGTGAAGTAATTAGCCTCCAACTGATAAAAATAAATGAGGGGGTACTCTTTTGCCCCCTTCTGATGCCTATGTCAGAAGCTTTCTCTATCTCCTTTATACTTTAATAAAACTTTATTACACAAAAGCTCTGAGCGATCCAGCCTCGTCTCTGGCCCCGGATTGAATTCGTCTCCTCCGGAGGCCAAGAATCCCGCGTCTAATCGTTCAGCAACAACCTTTCATCTTGGGGGCTCATCCGGGATCCTTCAGGACAAGATGGGTCTGATAATGTATGTGAGCCTACTTCTGCTGACTCCAGAAATCCTGAGTCTGCCTTTTGATCCTCAAGACAATGCCTTCCTGTCCTGGGCTCACTCCTATGCTGTATTCCACAATCGGTCTAACTGCTGGGTCTGCGGAGCACTCCTGGTGGACATCTCCACTTCAAGGAAAGGACTTTCTCCCAAGTCTGCAAATACCTTCAACAATCGCATGTGATGCCTCTTCTTAAACTGATGACATCTAACAACCTTAAGATGGACTGATGTAACTACGAACATAATGTGACTTTTCATTTTGATTTTAACTTCGTTTAATGACTATTTTGCCTTACATCTATAACTGTATAATGGGGTTTTTCTAACCGTCTAAAAGTTTTTAATTTACAAATAGTTGTCCGAGCTCCTATGAGTGCCACAGCCTCCTCCAACTATTACTTGGAGCATGGATTCATTGGAGAGTATATAACTCCATTGCTAACACTAGCAAAAGGGGTACTCTTTTGCCCCCTTCTGATGCCTATGTCAGAAGCTTTCTCTATCTCCTTTATACTTTAATAAAACTTTATTACACACACACACACACACACACACACAAAAATAAATAAATGAAAAAAAAAGTCAAAGGTTTAGCAAAAGAAAAAAAAAAAAAGAGGATAACTCATTCACGTCGGGACACGGGCGCCCCCTGGCGGTAGAGTCCTGCTAAGACAGAGCCGCCGAGAGGCAGGAAACTTACTTTGGAAGGAGCAGGATCGGGCTTCTCAAAGTGAGTTGATAGCGGTTGTATTAGTGGACAGTGTCTAAAAATCACTGTATGATGCTGGCTGCCGTCTACCAGTGGCTTCCAAACTTTTCTTACCGTGATGCAAAGTAAGATATTAAATCAACATAGTGGTATTTTCTACTGTTCTATTCATATCTTTAAACTCCGGTCAGAACCCTTTAAATTGATTCCTATCTCTGTAATGGGTGCCCATCTGCACGAATTTTTTTTCCAGCTCATAAAGATTATCATGGAGAAAGTGTTAGCACCCAGATCCGACTCTCCACTACCAGGTCACCGCCCACTTACCTCCTGACTTCCCCTGGAATCTTGGCTCTGACAGCGCAGCGCGATTGCTCTTCAACACCCAATGCCCCACAACTGTGCTCCAGCCACCCGGCCCCTTTGGCATCACCCTTTTTGGTGACAAGGGCCATGGGGAGCTGGCACCTTTGGCTATTCTTTCTTTCACTGTCTATGTACTAAATGGAAGTTAAAAGCGGGTCTTGTATCTCTACCAATTCAGTCTCATCTTGGCTTTGACCCTGTGTAGAAAGTGTGTGCTTGACTGTAAGGATTATGTTGTTACCATTATTATCATTATTGTCTTTGGTGTAAGACTGCCCTCCCCCCAGCTTCTCCTTTCAAAGACAAGACGCACATAATCAGAGGAAATTCTTCCTTTTATTTCCACTCACAAAGCCCCCTTCCAAAATGATCAGTCCCTGCCCTCCCGCACCTCCCCCAACACCTTCACAAAACACTGATTTCCTCCCAGAGCTAAAATGTACAGCCCGTCACCCATTATGGCCACTCCCCCAGACCCCCCAAATATGCACCTGCTCTGCCAAGTCGGCTACCTCTTGGTTCCACCTCCAAATGTCGTTCCCAAGGTCGCCTGGCTTGTTTTGCTCATTCCTTGGGCAGCTTTCTTTGAGCCCTCCCTGACTTGGTCTCCAGATGGCTTCCCTGTTCTCCTCTGCACAGACGTTCTGCAGGGCTTCCTGGCTCACTTCCCTGCTTGAGAGACCGGTTTTCCAAGCTCTCCCCTGCCTCCCAAATTCCCCATTGGCCTCTGTTCCTCAGATGTTACTTGAACGGTGTAAATGCTGACTCACGACTGGGGGGGGGGGGNGCGGCAGTAGATGGCCAGCAAGTCGAGGGTGTCCAGGGCAGGGGGCTGGGGGAGGTCAAAGGTGGGCAGGGGGAGGGGGAGAGGGAGGGAAGGTGCCGGCGGGGGCGGGGGCGGCGGCGGAGGTGGGGAGGATGGTGGGAGCAGAGGGGCATCGAGGAAGTAGTCTTCCATCTGCTCCAGCTCCTTCTTGAGCAGGGAAGCCATAGCTTCCAGGTCAGGTGGGGGTGGGGAAGGTGGGGGGAGGGCACCTGAGGGCATGGGGGGCTCCAGAGGGAGCAGGGCCGTAAAGTCGACCCGTTCGGTCATCCAGTCAGAGAAGCCATCTCCTGGAGGATTGCAGAGGGACAGAAAACTTGATTTCCTATTCCTCCACCCAACCAGATCTCAAGTCATGCCCAACTCATTCATCCCATTCATTGAGTTAAACCCCCAGCCAGCCGGCCAGTCAACCAACCAATCAACAAATCATCAAACCAGTCAACAGATCAGCCAACCAACCAACCAATAAACCAAACATCTAACCAACCTGTTAACCAACCAACCATCAATGACCCAAATGACAAAACAGTCAACCAGCCATTTCTTCAACTGTTCCAACATCCTCCTTACTGATTACCCTGCATCTCTGGTTTCTTGATTTACTCTCTGGTTTATTCATAAATGGCAAACTAGATCACATGTAAACACACCCTGTTTCATCTTTAACTACTGCAATCCCACTATGCACCAAGCATTTGGGATACACTTCCCTCATAGCTCAGTTGGTGAAGAATCTGCCTGCAATGCAGGAGACCCAGGTTTGATTCCTGGGTTGGGAAGATCCCCTGGAGGAGGAAATGGCAACCTGCTCCAGTATTCTTGCCTGGGAAATCCCATGGACAGAGGAGCCTGGTGGGCTACAGTTCACGGGGTCACAAGAGTCAGACACAGCTTAGCGACTAAACAACCACCAATGAATAAAATGGGCTTCCCAGGTGGTGCTAGAAGTTAAGAACCCACCTGCCAACGCGGGAAATGTAAGACATGCAGGTTCGATCCCAGGGTCATGAATATCTCCTGGAGGAGGGCATGGCAACCCACTCCAGTATTCTCGCCTGGAGAATACCATGGACAGAGAGAGGAGCCCAGTGGACATAGGGCAATGAGTCAGACACGACTTGGTGACTTAGCGCCGATGTCCGCAATGAATGAAATAATTCCTGCTTCAGGGGCTCTGCTTGTGGTGTTTCCTGCACCTGAAAAGCTCTCCCCTTGGGTCTTTTTACAGGTCATTCCTTACCACTCCTTAGGTCTCAGCCAAAATATTACTGACTGGGAGAGTCTCTTGGCTCCCCCCGCCAAACTTGTCCTCGTTGTCATTTTTATTTTTTTCCTCATTGCCATTTTTAAACTCAGCCAAGTGTTTCCCACTTATTCCCATGCATCATTTAATCTGTCTCTTGCATATCTCCCCAGTAAGTGTGTGCGCTCCAAGAAGGCAGGGATCATGTCAGTCTTGTTCCCAGCTGTATCCCCTAAAACAGTGCCTGACATATTATGCTGCTGTTGTTGCTTAGTTGTTCAGCCATGTCCAACGTTTTGTGACCCCATATACTGTAGCCCACCAGGCTCCTCTATCTATGGGCTTTTCCAGGCAAGAATACTGGAGTGGGTTGCCACTACCTCCATCAGGGTTTCTTCCCAACCCAGGGATTCAACCTATGTCTCCTGTGTCTCCTGACTTGCAAGCAGATTCTTGACCTGCTGAGCCAGGTCAAGTCGGTCATTGGGGAAGCCCTATTATAGGTACTCATTAAATATTTATCAAATGAATGAATTCTTTCTTCTCCCCTCTCCCGCCAGCTCACCCCAGCTCCATTCTTCACCTGCTCTTACCTGCCAGGGGCTCTCCCCCCCCTGGAAGCCCGCCCTCCAGGGCTCCCCCAAGGACCTCATAGGGGCCCAGGGGGGCAGGGGCCAGGGGGAGTTTCCCATAGTCTACGAGCCAGCCCAGCCCGCTAGCTGGGAGCAGGGTCCTGTCCAGCTCCAGCCCCAGGGTCGCCAGGAGTGACATGGCTGCAGCACGGGCGCGGGGCCCCGATGGCAATGGAAGAGGCTGCACCAACGGCTGGGAGGAGGCTCTGGCAGTTGCTCAGCTGGGCGAAGACAGGCACCAAGGCAAAAGTGGAGGACCTACAGTGTGACACCGAAAGTGAGTGGGTCAGGATCAGCCTCACCTACTGCTGCCAAAGGCACAGGGAAACCAAGCCACCCCCACCCCCAGATCCTTTCAGAATTCTAAACCTGTCCTTTCCCCGTATCTGAGCCCCACCCACTCCCAAGGGAATTCTCTTTATTTGGCTTATTTCTCAGAATTCCCAAGACCCAATCCTTCCAATACAGAAACCTAATGGTCTCCCAAGGGAATTTCCTTAAAGTCCTTCCCACTCACCCTATAATATTCCCTTTCATTAAAAAAAAACAAAAAACCCACGCTCAATCCCTAGGGAATTTTCTTCCAGTCACACCTCTTACTCTAAAATATAACTTTTAGGCCCCACACCCTCCCTAGATTCCAGCTCAAATCTGTTCCCATGGGAATTCCCCCTTGTCCCGCCGGCGTCAAAATTATTCGTTCAAATCGCAGTCCTCCCTTTGAATTTTGGGGCTGCTTGCCAGTCTCTCGAAGTCCCGCCCCCACGGTTTACTTTAGCTCCACCTCTCCCTGATAATTCCCAGAGGCCCCGCCTCTTTCTCAGGCAGAAACCCCACCCCCTCAGCAAACGCCTTTGTTAGCCCCGCCCCTTCACAATGGGTAACCCCGCCCCAACCCCGTCCTCGGCGACGCCTCTTACCCTAGCTCCGCCCCCCAAACCGGTCGTTTCTAATCCCCGCCTTCTCCCCTGTCAATCTAAACCAGTCCCCGCCCCAGCACGTGCCTAAATGAAAGGGAGAGATGATGAGCTCGGCGCCTGAGCAAAGTGGGAGGCGGCGCTCTCGCTGAAGGCTACAGCGCATGCGCCATCTCCGGAGCCGCGCCATAGCTCCCTCAGGCCACCGCCCTCGTGGGGACCGGTGTGCCCGTGCAACTGCTTAATGCCCGCCCTTTGCGCAAAAATACAGCCTCAGGTGGGCAAGCTGCGCAAAGCAATCGCTCGCAGACGGTCGAGCCGGGAGGGGAGGCCACCGTGTCTGGGAACTAGTGCGCAGGCGCACACGCACGTGGGAGATCTTCTTTAAACACCAATTGTCTGGAAGAACGCACCCGCCTGAGTGCGCATGCTCCGTCGCGCGAGAACGCTCGTCTTCCCTCTTCTGCGCCTGCGCGACCGTGATTCCTCAGTCTCCCCACCCCCCCACCCCCAGGCTCGGTCGCGAGGGCCGCGAGCTTCGAAAGGGCGGGAAAGGCGGTTGGAGAGGGAGGGGCGAGCGGTTACTCACTCCATGGCTGCGCAAAGAAGAGGCTGCGGCGGCCTCGGCTGAAGAGAGACGGCAGGAGCGGAAAGCGCAGGCGCGGTGAGCGCGGAGACTGGCCGGGGGCACAGAGGGGTCGCGGCTACAGAGCCATGGCCGGGGATACGCGGGCGGAGGCGGCGTGGCGGGAGCGTGAGGAAAGACCGTGATCTGAGGATGGGGAATGAGGCGGCCCCCGGGACTGGGCTCAGATATACCGCGGACGGCGCAGCACTGCCTGCGCGGATCCTTCCGCGCCCCGCCCCGCGTGGCCCCATCCCGGAGGCGGGCCTGCACCCCTGCCCTCGGGGATCGGATCCCGGCTTTCGATCCCGGGAGTTCAGGCCTCTCCTTCCTCTGACCCGTGGATCTAGCCCCGCTCTTCTCCCTACTCCGGGGGTTCCAACCCACCCTTCTCTCTGACTCTGGGGTCCGGTCCTCTGCTCCCTCTGATTCTGGTGACTCGGTAACCCCTCTTCCCCGACACTCGCGCCAATTCATTTTTCCTTTGCGTTCCCCTGCTTCATGAATTTCCGGCCAGCCACATGCTACTCTCTTCATCCTTCAACTGCCGTCACACTCTGAGAACGTTTCCTGTGGCTTAGAACCTGGCGTGAGTCACAGAGCGCGCTCCATTCAAATCACAGGCCGGCGAAGGTGGCCTTGGGCAAATGACCTGAATTCTCGAGCAGCCTAGATAGGGGACTATCTGTAAAACGCGGAGAATAATCAACTCTAGCTGGTGGGGTCATTTGTGAGAATCAAATAAGTCGACGCCTGTGAAACTGAGATCCCACTTCATACATGCCCGCTCAACCTCTTATTGTGAGCAGGAAGGAACCCTGGGACCCGGTGTCACCCCTTCCAACCCCCCTGGCAGGAACCCCAGACGCTAGACCATCCAACACTTGTTAAAAGGCCATCCTTGTGTCTCCTTTACCTCCTCCAAGGTAATTCCCAGCCATCCCCGCCGTTTCCAATTCACAACATGGACGCTCAGCCCCATCTTGGTTCAGGGAGTCAGTTATCGCCCTCAGGCTTATCTTTTCTGTGTCTCCTGCCCACCTACCCTCAACGCTTATCCTCAGCATTCCTTTCAGGCCAGTTGGTTCCTTCTTATGTCCACTCCCCGCCATCTAGACTCCCTTTCAGATTGTCCTCTACCTCAGCTGCCCTCCCCCCCNTACCTCAGCTCCCCCACCCCCCCACTATCAGTCGTGCAGGTCTGCCAGAAATAGGAAGATCTGTAATCCATTGCTCAAAGAGATGGGACTTCCTGGTCATCCCCTCCTGGTGCGCTGGACCCTCCCAGCCCAAGTGGTTGTGGGTCTTTCCTGTGCTGTAGAAACCCGTCTTTTATCCACCTCCGTTCATCCACAGCAGGACATTACACCTGGAGTTGAGCTTTTCCGGGTGCTTATGAGACTGAATCAAGATCAGAGAAGGCAGTGGACCTTGATCTTGAGAGTTATCTGAGAATGAAGACATGTAGGCTCTTTTTTCTTTCTTCCTTCAAGTTCAGGTGCTCTTTTTTTTTTTCTTCCAGATTTATTGGGATATGATTGACTTGTAGCACTGTGTAAGCTTAAGGCGTACAGCATAGTGATTTGATTGACCATACCTCATAAATTGATTAGTAAGTGTAGTGAACATCTATTATCTCCTACACATACAAAACTGAAGAAATAGGAAAAAATACATCCTGTTTTCCTTGTGATGAGAACTCTCAGTATTTAATCATGTAACAGTAAGACCATACAACATATGGTGGTATTAATTAGGTTTATTGTATACTGCATCCCTAGTACAGGCTACTCTTGCATACAGGAAGTCTTTCTTGGGATCTGACCACATTCTCTTAGATTACTTTATCCACTCAGCTTGTATTTCAGCTCTTGCCCTATAGGAGCTATGTTTTTACCAAGGAAACAGTAATGGTTAAGAGCACAGACTCTGGATCCCAGCTGTTAGATTCAACCCTTGACTACACCTGGCTTACTAGCTTACTGGCAGTTTCCCTCCACGTGTCTTGCTTTCCATTAATAGTTCCAGAATCAAATATGGAGTTAATAGAAACCTGCTAATAGCCAACGTGTGTGGCCATCAACAGTACTTATTTCTTAGTATTGTTTTGAGGATTAAATGAATTAATCCAGGTCAGGTGCTCTTGGACTAGTGCCTGGCACAGAGTGAGGTGTTACATAAGGGATTTATTGTTGTTATTAAGGTGGGTATGTTTTATCTCCAGTGCCCAGCAGTAGTGCTTCTAAAGGTCTTTTAAGTAAGAAGTAAGGACTGACTCCTCCGTGTTGAGTACTAGGAGGTGGGATTGGGGGAGACCATTGGACAGGCCACTGGCAGCAAGGGGGCACAGTCATCCCCCAGTCTTCCCTTTATCAAAAGACCTTCTAGATTATAACTGGTAGACTAGATAGAGTATTTTTCTTTAAATAAGAAAAATTATTTTGGAATAATTGTAGATTGACCACAAAGCAGCAAAGACAATATAGAGAGTTCCCGAGGAACCCCTCACACAGTCTCCCCACCGTGGGCATCTTGTGTTATACTGGTGTGTTTGTCACAACTCGGGAGGCAATGCCAGTCTTTCTGTGACCTACCCCCTCGCCCACCATATCTTCTGATTTCAGCTGTTGTTCCCTGACCCCTTCCTTTGTTTCAGGATCCCCCCAGGATGCCGAGTTACACTTAGTTTTCACGTCTCCTCAGCAACCTCTGGTCTGTCGAGGCTTTTCAGACTTTTCTTGTCTCCTGTGACCTTCATGTTTTTGAAGAGTACAGGTTGGGTATTCTGTGGACTGTTCCTCTGTTTGGTTTTGTCTCATAGACTGGGACTTGGAGAAGGAAATGGCAACCCACTCTAGTATTCTTGCCTAGAGAATCCTGTGGACGGAGGAGCCTGATGGGCTGCTGTCCATAGGGTCGCACAGAGTCGGACACAACTGAAGCGACTTAGCATGCATGAGTGCATTAGAGAAGGAAATTGCCATCCACTCCAGTGCTCTTGCCTGGAGAACCTCGAGGACAGGGGAGCCTGGTGGGCTGCCGTCCCTGGGGTCATACAGAGTCAGACACAACTGAAGCGACTTAGCAGCAGCAGCAGCATAAACTGGGACTCGGGTTTTGAGAGGGTGGTCAGGTCAGATAGTTTGTTAATAGCTGAGAATGAACTTAGTATGGAAATCTTGCTACCAGTTGCTTGCAGTTTGCTGACTGAGAAGACCCTGGCCGGGCTGTCCCTGCCCCGTGTGCCTCTTTCTCTCTCCAGCTAGGTCCCACAGAATTGAGTCCTGGTGCCAATCACCCCGCCCACGCGGCCTGACTCAGCCCTGCGGAGCGGGTGCCAGCAAGCACTCTGAGCTCCTAGCCCTTCCCAGCCTATTCAGCTTCTGGGCAGTGGGTCATCAGTGGTGCCTGTGAGCCCAGGTCTTGGCAACCTGCTCCATCTCCCCACACCCACCCCTCATCTGCATCCATGGTACCCCCGGGACTCAGATGACTCCGCCTCCCCCAGCTTGGCCAAGTACTCAGGGTCCAGCTGCCCCCCCACCCCCGGCCCTTCAGCTCCTGAGCTGAGGCTGGGAGCCTGGGTGGGGCTGCTGGGGACTCTTTTTCATTGCGGAGGAGCCAGGCTTGGGGAGTGAGGTGGCGGTTGCAGGGAGGTTGCGTCACCCCGGCTCTTTGATGGGGAGGGGGAGTGTGGGGGGGTTCTCTGGGGGCCGGCTGCACACCTGGCAACGGTTAGCGAAGCCCTGGATTGGGGAGACGCCCCAGTCCAGTAAGGGAAGGGATTAGGGAGGAGGAAGGAGAGCCTGTGCAGAAGCCTGGAAATCGGGCTGGATGCTAGGACAGGGCTCAGATCACAGACGCTGACCCGCGGGGCTTGCAAGGGGCAAGGCGGAGGCCCGGAGGGGCGAGAGGAATTGTGCAGGGCCACACTGCTGGTTAGAGCCCAGCCTCTGCCGCACACCTTCCAAAGGCCTGCAGGCCCCAGGGAGAGCCTGTCTCCGCTCAGACGTGTGGGGTCCCTGACCCCCAGCTCAGGACATAGCCTGCTGGGAGGCAGCTGGACCTGGACCTTCACCTCAGGTGTGCTGCTGCTTACTACTGCCAAATTCTGTTGGTTGCCACCTGCCCCTCCCCAAGCCCTGTGCCCCATAGGAGGCCCTCCTTGCCTGTTCTGTGGCAGAACCCGCTGCTTTCCCAGTCAAGGTGACAGCCTGGTGTGATGGGAGAGGCACCGGGTTTCCATCAGATGGACCCAGGTTTCAGCCCTGTACCCACGTCACCTGACGCTGGCCAAGGGTGCCACCATGGCCCTGACTGCTGGGCCTCTGGCTCCAGTGGCTCCTTGGCCTTTTGAACAGGGGAGAGGTGGCTCAGAGCATTGTCTCTGGAGTCAGCCTGCTAGGTTCACATCCCAAGTCCGCTGCTTCTTTGACCCTCAGCAGGTGGCATCTTCTGTGTGACTCAGTTTCCTCATCCATAAAATGGGGATAAGATGACCCACCTCATAGGCTTATTGTGAGGATTAAATATGTAAATGTATGTATAATTTCTAGAAAGGGGTCTGCCTGCCTAAGTATGAGCATTATTTCTCTCCAAGGCTTGGGTGCTGAAGGGATTGTGTGAAATGCTGTAGGTAAAGCCCAGCACTTACGGCCAGCTCGTGGTTGTTTCTCTTCCTATTCCTCCCACACTTCGTTCTGCTTTCAGAGCCCCTCAAAGGCAGACGTCTGTGTACCTGTTTCCCTGAGCACTTAGAGGGTGAGTCAGGACCCTCCTCATTCCCAGGAATTGTTCCTCACAGCCCCCAGCCCTCTGCTGCGGCCTCATGAGGCATCAAAACTTTTTTCCTGGCTGCGCCATGAATCATGCAGGCTGTTAGTTCCCCAATCGAGGATTGAACCCACGCCCCACCCCCTGTGGCGGGAGCAGAGTCCCAACCTCAGACCACCAGGGAAGTCCCACATCAGTTCCTTTTTTAAATGAGTTGCTGAGGGACAGAAACTGGGGAATTCAATTCTGTGTTCCGTGAAGAGGCCCTTGGGCAGCTGTCTAGATCATGCAGTCCAGGAGCAAGGGTTGGGAGTGGGCGTCCGGCAAACAAGGACAGGAAAGCCAAGGCCAGCTCAGCTGGGGAAAGGGCAGTGCAGGGGCCAGACACACAGCACAGGTCTGCCACGTGGCCTGGTGGCTCAGAGTCCTCCAAAGCCCCTTCTCTTAGTGGCTTCAGACAACACACATCGATTCCCTTTCCCTTCTGGAGACCGGAAGTCTAAAAAGGGTCTTTCTGGAACAGTGATCCCCAGTCTTTTTGGCACCAGGGACGGGTTTCGTGGAGAACAACCCCTCATCCCCTGTTCTGCAGCCTGGTTCCTAACAGGCCACAGCCTGGTACAAGTCCACGGCCCGGGGGTTGGGGACTCCTCAAGGCTCTAGGGGAGAATCCATTTTCTTGCCTTTGGGCCCTTGTGAGCACTCTAGGGCACACCCCAATAATCCAGGATAGTGTCTTCACCTCAAGGTCCTGAATATAACGTCTGTGAAGTCCCTTTGGCCATATAGGGTAACATACGCCCAGATGCTAAGGATTAGGGTGGGGACATAGCCATCCCACCACTCCGCCCTCTCAGAGCCTCAGCGTCCTCGTCTGAGAGCTGCAGGCTGCCGGCCCTAGGATGCCCCTCTGTCACGTGTGTGCAGAGACTGGTCAGGGCAAACTGAAGGCAATTGGCAGCACAGTGCCCTGGCCCTTGGGACACCCGCTTCTCCCCGTGTGCCGCGTCAGTGGAGCAGGGACGGCAGCAGAGCGGAGGCCCCAAGAGAGTGCGGGAAGGCCTCGGATGATGCCATCCCCGCGGGCACACGTGCCAGCCTGGCGGTGCGGAGCTTCAGGCTTTACAGAAATGAGAAACCTAGACCTTTCCACAAGGTCCAAGTTTTAAAAGGCTAGTGAATCGCTAACAGAAACCCCAGTGAACTATGAGTGTGGAAAAGTGGGAGCCAAGGGCCCTCCCTGACCTTTGCATGCAGAGTCACCCCGTCACACACCCCCAAAATTTGTCCTCTGCCAGGGCAGAGGACAAAAGAAACTGAAAATTCCTCAAGGCGGGGTCACCACCACCCGCCGGCCTGACCCAGATTGAAAG